AAGGGGGGTCCGCAGATGCGAAGCCGACCCTTCCTCCAAAACAAGTTTTCCAGATTATTTTCTAAATTTTGATTTGCAACGCATGAAATTTTACACTTGTCTGTTCCATGCATGATTTTTATTTTTGTTTTGGTGTTCTCCACAAAAGCAGCCCGTGTAACACAACCTATCCTTATCAAGTTATTTCGTTCTACATAGATTAAAACCTTGAGAATAATCAGTCTGTATAAAATGCGTCTTATGATTTTAGTGAAAGGTAACCAGACTGATTTGATTTACTTTTACGATTGTCGATCCTTTTTATAACAATAATACTAACAACAACAACAATAATAATAATAATGTTTATTGAGCACTTATTGTATACATACAGTAGCTTGACATTAGCTTCCTCGCTAATCTATGAAAAGTAGTATACGTATATACATGTACATGTATATAATCAGTATAATAATGACAATAATAATCATAGACTAAGAGCAATATCAAAAGTTGTATAACTTGACCTGAAGGTTGATATGATACTATAAAACGTGATAAAGATGGGGAAGTGACATTATATCAAATCATCTCCTACAATCGACATGTTTTGCATATATGATTTACACTTGTGTCGAAATTCATTTTCATCCCCAGTACCTTCAAACTTGAATACGTCTTTGACATAGACATAAAATGCCCGAACTGGGGTTAGGGTAGCTGTAGGTGCTGTCGGTCCCGTTACTTTAAAGACACTTCGAACTGGTACCTGATTTGCAGAAACCATGTCAACGTTAAAGTTAAAGTTGGTTTCCAAAGCCGCCATCTTCACTTTTTGACAAACAAGTGCTTACGGGCATTTATACCAAACCAATCACTGGAATGATTCAACTTGTCTTTAAGACGTATCCGCAGGGGCGGATCCAGAATTAATTGAAGTTGGGGGTCCAATTTTTATGAACGAGAGGCCGCGAATGGGGGTGGTTTTCTCAGCAGAATGTCAGTCATTTTCATCATTACTTTAATTGGTTGGTATTAAGTAAAAGGCACGTCGTTTCGTAAAATGGGCGTAGTTTTCTCAGCAGAAGTGACAGTCATTTTCATCATCATTTCAATTGGTTGGTGAGAGGAGCTGTATCGTTATATGGGTGTAGTTTTCCCAGTAGAAGTCACAGTCATTTCAATCATTATTCTAATTGGTTGGTGTGTAAGTATGGGAGGACTTGTCTCGTAAAATGGGTGTGGTTTCTCCAGCAGCACTACTATACATATCCGTTGAGTCGCTATCGCTGCTGTTCTCGGTGGTTGTGGGTCTATCACTGCCGTCATCCAGTTCGTCTACGTAGGGTGCCGTAATATGGTACCTTTTCGTAGACATGTCTTTCTTGCAGAAGCCAAGTTTGGTGCAGATTCGTTCCCGTAATATATCAGTTAGAACACAATAGATGATAAAGTTGCCAAAGCCTTGCCCGCTGTCCCCTACAGCCTGAAAAAAAAACATTAGTGCATCATTGACTATTAAGTTCTTTTCATACCGAGTGATATACATTTCAATACTAAAATCTGTTCTGGTCGACTTTGTGAGTACCAAACATATATTTAAGCCACAGAAGGGTTTACCCTCTTTCAGAAACTCTTTACATGCCTGCTGGTTAGCAAACAGGACATGGTCCAGTCAAACGCGGCTGCTCCCTTTATGTGACTCCCTTACCAGCTAATAGTCAGGCGATTCATACCCTCTACCAGGGCTGCAATTATTATTGTGGACATTTTTGTGAGGCGATCAGACCAAAATGACTGTCTATTTATCTAGAGACATATCTATGAATATCTGTTAAAAGTCAATCTGTCACCCTGGTAGAGGGTAGGCTGTTCGTTTCGGTCAAAAACGGATTTTCCTGGGGTAAATCACAATGTTCCCGCACTTATCAAGGGTTAATGAATAGATTTTGACATACAAAACGAGGCGATGTTTTTTTTAAGTCTGGTTTTTCGTATTCGTTTCTTTTAAGATATTATTACGGGATGTAGCCATCCATGAAGGTCCACGTGGTCTGGCGGCAGGCACAGATTCCAGAATAATTGCCATAAGTGCTGCTTCGGTGGTACAATAGAATTTGTAATATTTTTATGAGTGGTTTACAATATCTGCACGTCCACGATACTGGGTAACAACATTTATGAGAGCTTTCTTTCCCACAAGGTACAGCTGCAAAACAGACTCATTATGTTTATTATTATTATTATTTATTTATTTATTTATTTTTTTTGCTTACTAATCGACTTACAAGCCTAAAAAGTCTCAGTGGGAAGGGCGTGGTAGCAACCCCCCCCCTTTCAAGAAAAAAATTAAACAATTAACTATGTGAATAAAATAAAAACCAAGTAAACAAATACATAAATAAATAAAAACAGCATTAGATCTAAGTTTTTGTACTTAAAAATGACAAATGCGGATTAATAGATGACTAATTCTGCTTGTGGTGTCTTCAGGAAAGATTAATTCTTACCTGGTAAATTGCAAGCGCCTTATTGAAAAATATATTAAAGGAGGACGGTGGATCTATATCGCCGATCCACACAATGGTGTTCGCTAAATACCTGGAATATAAGAATGTGGGTAGATGCGAATATTAAGAGGCAGCCAGAAACACAGGCAGAGAAACAACGAAACAGACTGATACCCTGCAGGCATGAGCGCCCGTAGAAAATTTTCCAGGAAAGGGGGGGGGGGCAAAATTATTGAAGGGGGAGATAATGATTGGCTGGATACCCGCAATAAAAATGCAGTTCCAAATTTCCGGGAGGGGGGGGGAGTGACCCCATTGCCCCCCCTTCTTCGGACGCCCATGCCTGTAGGAAATATGGGGAAGGTTGGGAATCCGTTAAATCTTTACTGCAATGTTACTTTTGCTCTCTCTCTCTCTCTTATGTATGTTAATATTAACCTATTCCCTACTCTGTTTATAAATCATTCCTTATATTTATAATATAACTAACCTCAAAGTGCCGGCCAGTCGCAGTAAAAAGAACACAACAGGGACCGCCGTCATCACTCGGTCCGTCTTCTTTACTGCGCTCAAAGTTTCTCTATCTATGAACAGAGAGCCGGTCTGTTTGATCTAAAAAGAAATAATAAAAATAAATTAATTAATTTATTTATTAATGGAACTTAAATGTTGCCTATCTGAAAAAATCCCACTAAACTGTATTTTTCCAATTGGATTCAACGTTGTATATAAAATTTTATTAAACAATGTACACGTAATACTAAATGGCTGGCCAGTCATTTATATCGCCGTGTCTTACTAGCTGTACGTTTCAAAAAGAAATGTCGATGCCAGGTACTATTTAAGGGGGTTTATCGTATTTATCGTATTTATTCGGGAATCATACCGGTGAGATTTGTAGACAGAAAATATAACTTTAGGACATTTTCAAATGCGAATAACAAATGGTAATATCAGTTAGTCACAAAAGTAAAAAAAAAAAAAAAAAAAAAAAAAACGATGCATTAGAAAATAATTATTTTTATTCTTAACGATAACAATAGCATAACATAATTTAAACATTTGTTCATCTCAAATTAACCAAAATTACTATATAGGACAGCAACTTTATTCACTCTAATTCTACCATGTATTTACCGTTTTCCTAAGCTTGATCTTCATGGAGCAGTATATGAGGGGAAGTACCACCATCGCTCCAAGCTCCCAGCCTTTTCCAGCCAAAAGCGTCAAGGTGACAACCTCTCCGACAGGTGTCACTGTTTTATTTTGACAAACCTTTATCCAGCACCAACCGCCGGTGGTACCAAAGACACTTTTATCAGAGATGGTACTATTAGATGAATTATCAGTTGGTAGTTCTTGATAACCTAGCATATCCAAGGACAGGGTAACTGTAAGTATAATCACTGAAAAAATAGCGAAAAGCTTTTGATTTAATTGATTTTTAATTTTTCTTGGAAAGACTGCACATAAAGCCAAAACGAAGGCTAAACGAAATATAAATTACTACTAAACTTACGTCACAAGGTATAATACACGTGTGATCTTACTGATAACAAATAATATCCCTCCCTTTACAACATGCTTCGATCCACACGTTAAAATTCAGGGGTTGGATATTTGTGTGACTGCAATTTATCCAATTAGAGTAGTGAATAAACTAAGTTCGAATTCATCTTGTACGTTCCTGTCTTATTTTCAACAAAATGTGTTGTATATGTAGTGTATTAAATTTTCGGAAAATGTGCAGCTGTGCATTTTGTAAAAGGTGTCAAAAAGCGATTAAAATGCCGTCGTGTGGTTTTTCTGGTCCAGTATACCAACGCCCTTCTCTTTCTTTTTTTTTTTTTTTATAACTTCTTAATGCTTACCTGGAATACCCCAAGCAATGACGTGCAAGAGCCAATGGTGGCGCTCCGTCCAGCCCGTCCTTTCCGCGTGCAATATCGTCTCACGCACCTGCCACGCGATAATCATCGTCCAGAAGAAAGACGACATGCTTCCAAAAGTGATTATAAAACTTTGTGCCTTACAAAAAGCTGTAGGATTTTCACATTGCGATTCGGCAGATGAGTTCGTATCGTTGGATTGGCCTAAGCTCCTTATTGCACCTGATGCATTTCCTAGAGCTATCAAAAAGTCCGCCAGTGCCAGATATAATAATAAGCGTCTGCTTGACGACCGAATGTCTTTGAAAAACAGCCATGTTCCGAATATCAAAATACAGCCACACCAGGACAAGAAACTGCTGGCGAGTGTTAGGGAAGAAACGGCTACGGAAATACCGTTCATGTTGGTTTTGTTAACACTGAAGTCAAAACTGTTTCAGGCTGTGTTTACATGATAATTCGTATCATCTGAAAGTATAGAAAAAAGATTTGTTGCAAACCCCAGTCTCTTCAATCAACAGTTATAGAAGAATGATGATACTACCAATAAAATTCTGCCCCCTCCCACCCCCGTAGACTCCGAGAATTTCGTTCAGTTCACCCGCCGATAGGTGTCGTTGGTAGTAACTTGTAACTTTGTTGACAAGAAATATTTAGCAGTGCATGTCACCCATGGCATACATGCAGTTGTTTTCCTGATTCAAGAACAGAAAACCAATAGAGTAAAAATTGAATAAACAATGGCTAATACAAAAGATGAAGAAGAAGAGAAAAGAACGGTAACACCGTGAGAAACAATTATCATACTGGCTATATATAAAAGAGAGATACTACTGACGCATTTGAACACGAACATGTAATATATCTATACAACAGAATGACAGACTCAACGCTGACCTCCATCTTCCCCTTGCAGAAAAATTCACTCATGCACCTGGCCTCCCTTCTCTCTCTCTCTCTCTCTCTTACACACACACACACACATACGCAGTGACACACACACACACACACACACATGTACACACACACACACACACACACACACACACACACACACTGTGCTCCTCATTCTCACATATCCGCCCACAAACACGCATGACCACCCTCACGTACATATAACACTCCTCGTTTAAATAAACACAAAAACCTCTCTGCACAACGTATTTGAATATGTACGACATTGTAAACCTAAACGCAAAACATCAAAAATGTGATTGAATAGTTACATTTACGACATTACCCTGTTCCCGGCTGCATACCTTTTCTCTGTTGTCATTTAAAATCTAGGCTATCTTAGATACGTGTTATCAACATATTACATGAACGTAAATTGCGTATATAGCCAACACTGAACCGGCAGTTATCGCAGCACTCGCTTAAATCTGTCAACCGAGTTAGATGACCTTAAATAAATCCTTGATCTTTGTAACGTTTGTGTCCCCAGTTAAGGGATTGATTAGACCAAAGGTGTTAATGAACCCCATTGTCTTGATATGAACAATGCCCGTCATTCGTTTGTCCATTCTTCTATTGGAATGCAAGATGGAGGGTTGGGAATGAATTACCAGCGAGAAATATTCCATGGCGACGGATTATGATAGCGTTTTTGATACTTTTCCCATTATGCCTATTGTCATTTTTTCCCTTTTATTCAGCATTTGTATCAGTTTGATAGAAACAATTTGATACAAACAAGTTTTTCAGATTATTTTGAAAATTTGTTTTGGAACGCACGGCATTTTAAAGAAGTCTGTTCCATGCCTGATTTTTATTTTCGTTTTGGTTTTCTCCACAACTGCTGAAGTTTAAATGTAATAAAAACAGCCCCAGTTACACAACCTATATCCTTATCAGTTATTTCATTCTACAAAGATAAAAACCTTGACAATAATCTATCTGTATGAATTGCGTCTTATGGTTTTGGTAGAAGATAACCAGACTCATTTGCTTTACTTAATCGATTGTCAATCCCTTTTCATAATAATAATAATAATAATAATAATAATAATAATAATAATAATAATAATATTGCTTATTTGGCGCTAAATGTGTAGGCTACATGGCTAGCCATTTGCTGGCTCACTAATCTACGAAGAGTATAGTACGTGTACTTATACACGTAGGCCTACACAATAAGTATAATAATGATAATAATAATAACTATAGACTAAGAGCAATATCAAAAGTTGTATAACTTGACCTGAAAGTTGATAAGATATTATAAAAGGTGATAACGATGGGGAAGTGGTATTAAATCAATCCACTTGTACAATCGAGATGGTTTGGATATATAACTTGCCACTGAAATCCTTGCGCCCATCACGTGAGAAAGAGAGATGTATGTTTTCGTTTGTAATGGTTGTGACACCAATTACATTTGTGTTGAAATTCATTTTCATCCCCCGGTACTTCAAACTTGAATACGTCTTTGACATCACACAAAAAATGGCCGAACTGGGTTTAGGGTAGCTATAGGTGCTGTCGGCCAAGCAACTTTTAAAGACACTTCGAACTGGTACCCGATTTGCAGAAACCATGTCAACGTTTAAGTTAAATTTGGCTTGCAAAACAACCATAATCACTTTTTGACAAACAAAAGCTTATTGGCGTTTAAACCGAACAAATCACTGGAACGATTCAACTTGTTTGTAAGACGTACCTGTATTTATTTTTTATTTACTAATTTTAATATTAAGAACGTTCATATACGACTAACAGTAGTTGGATTGTTAATTTGCCTGAAGTGTATAAATACAGTGCGGTATATATAATAACAGTTAAACGTCATTACATTCCGGGACAATCCCGGGGAGGACGCAGCCCAGTTGCCGTACGAGGCGTTGAAAGCTAGCATGCTTAGAATATCTGTGTCTGTCAGACCAGCTTCCACCCCAAGTGCTGAGTGCCAAGCGAGGAGACAGCACGTACCGTTTATTAAGGACTGGTATGCCCCTGGTCGGGGTCTAACCCACGTCCTCCATCTTGTGGTCAGAGTCGGACACTCTACGCACAAGGCATTATATTTATTTATTTATTTATTTATTTATTTATTTACTTTGGTATCAAGAAAACGTCAGTCATCACACGAAGGCTGCAATAACGGATCTATTTCACTGTTATTTCCACTATGGGATTGCACGTGGTGATGCTTTGTTACGTCTGCCTCGTGGTAAATGTTCTGCGCTCTTGATCTTCCGTTTTTGGAGATCTTTTTTAATTTCCGCCTGCCTCGCCCTATCACTTTCCTCAGTTCAACTCTAACGGAGTCGGTAAGTAAACAGTACAGGACACAGTTGGTGAACCCCTGGGCGCTGTCACCGACCGCCTGGAGACAAAGAAGAGAAACAATAGAAATCCGTTATATTTATGTTAGGTATACCTGTAAAGGTTACAATGTGCCAGAATGTGATTTTAGATGCATTGAATTCAAACAGTCCGGACGCCGCGGGATATTCAGGGCACAGACCGTGATCATAAGACATACATGCCTTAGGCTTCATTCACATGCAATGTCTATTTTCTAAATTCTATTTTCTATTTGCGGTATGTCTTATGATCACGGTCTGTGCCCTGAACATCTCGCGGCGTAATTACTGGCAGCGCGAGCCAGTTACTATAAGTTACTACAAGTAACTGGCTCGCGCTGCCAGTAATTACGCAGCGTGATATTCAGGGCACAGACCGTGATCATAAGATAGCGCGAATAGAAAATAGATTTTTAGAAAATAGACATTCCATGTGAACGAAGCCTAAGTCTACAGGTGCACCTTTTCACCTAATTAAACTCATTTGCTTTTTTGTCACTATCTAAATATTTCTTTTCGTCACTGCGGAAGAAATTAGGGGATGTTTACATCAATCAGGAAGGAAAACATTAAATTGGTGTTTTTATAGTGGCCCTATCATTAATATAATTTTCATCAATAGCAGACGAGGCTAAAATACACGGATTACAGCTGTAGTCTTCTAGCCGGCTTCAACCAGCCAATAAAAAAGGCATAAAGGGTAATTACCAGTATACACGGTGTGTGTATGTGTGTGTGTGTGTTTGTGTGTGAATAAGTAAAATTAAACAAATAGATCTACCAAAGAAGACAATGTATTACCTGCATTATCAGGAGCACTTTATTGAAAATCAAAGCATGTGTAGCAGTTTCAGGCACAAGTTCTAAGACCAGAAGCGTATTGCCGACAAAACGGACGCAGCTCCATAGTCTCAAGAGCAGGAACATGGCGGGGATCCAAGTCATGAGACGATCTGTTTCCTTCACTGACTCATACAGGGAAGCTGATTGATGTATTAACTCAGTAGGCTGGAAATAGAAAAGTATTATTTAGATTCCTGGGGTTCCGCAGTTTTCACAATGAAATGTGCTAAAAAAAAAAAAAAAAAATATATATATATATATATATATAGACCAGAAACAAGAATGTTTGTTAGATTATTTTCTTATATTTAGCACCCAAAATGAAAACGTGAATTTAAATACACTGTTTGGCGAAACACATCGTGTCACATGGTATGTGGGCCATTAATATTATAAATATTATTTGCTCTCTCTCTCTCTCTCTCTCTCTCTCTCTCTCTCTCTCTCTCTCTCTCTCTCTCTCTCTGTCGTGGACTAACTGGTATCGGTACATATGAATGCACATACACTCACAATCCCACTGAAACACATGCCATTCAAGCCTTTATCCACACAGGCACAAAGTAACCCACACAAAGAGTTCAGGCTGCGCACGTACAGAACATACCGTGACCTTAATTCTTCTTTTTGACAGTATATAGAGCACGGGAATCACCAGAAATGCCACATATAGCCAGAGCTGCCCCGTCACTATATAAAAAGTTATAATCTCCGCCGAGTAATTCCCCTTTATTTCAGCGGCGCTCGTCTTTATCCAACACCAAAGTCCACTGGCCATTGTAGGTATTCCCTTCTCTTCAATAGTGTCCAGCCCAAGTCTGCCCCTACCAAGTGTGACCAAAACTATCCCCACTGGAAACAAGGAAAAAGTAAAAAAGGTCTAATAAAATGTAATATAATGGTTTTTCTCAAGGATTAATTGTATCTTTTGAGAGGAGGTTAAAAACTTGAGGAAAATTAACCTCTAACAGCAATCCCTATTGCGTTTCTCTTGCCTTTATTTTAATTAATCACTTCATGTAGAGTTATACATTTTTTTTTTCGATCATACCAAGAAGCCCAAGAAGCCCCTGGTCACCCTCTTCCATGAGTTTGTCCCTTTTACAAGCTACATAGCTTATACAGATCTTACCTTTTACCAGAGAAAGGCTGGGTGATAGAGTTATTTACTTATTTATATAATTATTTAAGAAAAAACTCCCAAAGTACAGAAAGTTAAGAGAAATATCTGCGTGTATATTTAGTGAACAATTAATATCTCTATGACCCGGGTGGAGGGAAGGTGGGGCCTATCAGAGCCGTGCAGTGCACTGAACTTCTGTTTGTATAATTTTTTTCAAGGATCAGCCAAGACCTGTGCACTTACAATGTGCTCAGATCTTCTGTACTTACAAGGTACTCCCCAGCACAGAAGATGCTGCGCCCAGCGGTGTCTGTCCAGCCAGTACGTCCCCGTCCCCGGCACCAGGACCGACCTGTAGACGTGCCACGCTATCAGCATGCTCCACAGGAACGACGACATCGTCGCCAAAGTTGACACAAAGCTTTGCGCCACGCATGCCGGATGAGGGTGGCTGCAATTGTGATTAATTGGATCTGGGTGGAGATGGTCCCCTAAGGTCCAGCTGGTCCCTATAAGCTGACCGCTGGCCACGAAGAAATCCGCAATCGTAAGATAAAGCAGCATGAGTCGGTTCGGTGTGCGAACGCTCCTTAACAGGATCCATGAGGCGAAGATGACCGAGCAGCCTCCTAGGGACAGAATACACGTGACGATGGCGGCGATGCTGGCAATGCACTGGAAGTCGTCCACTCCACAGGTGACATTGAGAACCATATTTGATGGCACCGAATGGGTTATAAATCCGCTATATAATCCCCATATGCTATCCTTGAGAACCACAGCACGTTGATTGAAATTTCGAAGAGTTTAGAGAATTATTGACGAAGCATAAGGGACATTGGGTCTGACACAGGAACAGGATGGTTTTTTCAAATATCGACGTGGAATTAAAAGTGGCCGTCTTTGAAGTGCACACGTCCTGCAAAAGTATTATGAATACCTAAAATCAAAATAGAAAAATAATTGATCTATCTGCCTTAAAATTAGATCATTTCTTAGGTTACAGAGAATATGTAACGTACAAATGCATGTATATGAACCGGTTCCATCATTGCTCAAGTTTGATAGGCAACACTGACACTGCCATACACATATTGATAATATGTACATGTGTTATCTGTTTATCTTTTCGTCATGCATTTTGTTCGTAATTGTCATACAATATACAATACAGTGCATGTATATTATAAAATATGATAATGCTACCATATTGTAAAAATACACACCAATAACAATTGGAGCTGTTCATACTGAGTAGCCTACATGTAGGCCTATAGCGTAAAATGAGGCCACGTATCCCCCCCTCCTCCATAATTTGCGATAACACTTTGAAATATCTGCTTAGAATATTGGAGCTGATAATATAAGCTACGATTGTAAATTTTAAAGCGAAAATCCACATTGTAGGTTACACTGTACACAAACTGGCAATGTAGCTGCGTAAGGACAGGGGGCATGCGCAGTTGCAGAGTTTTGATAAAGAATTTATTTTGTGAGTGGGTGATGGATTTAAGTGTTAACCAAGTCCTTCAGAAGTCCCTTGCTTTTTCTTGAGACAGCGTCTAAATTTGATGAGTATACTACATGTACAAGTGGTAAAAATAACCTGACTGCAAGAGTTTTAAGCCTGCCCCCCCCCCCCTCTCAATTTTTCTCAGCCTTGCCCTGAAGGGGGTTATCATTTAAGCATATCAAGCAGATAAAGTGGCTACAGGCCTATCGAATATATAGGAAATACATTTCGTGTACCTCTGAACTTGATAAAGGTGCTTACACGTACAGTATCAAATCGTCCAAATAATACCACGGTCCGTGGTCGGAGATCAATGTAATCCAGCAGTTTCTCTTCGACCTTGACACAAAACAATGTTTTGAGTCACGGTATACGTGCGGTTGCATTTCTAGGCTCGTGGAAGTAGAGCCACAGCACTTTTTGACTTTAGTGTTTCAGTTATCTTATTGTTGATAAAATTCAGTATAGGCTGTTCCAGCTTGAGAGATGGGACCATACAGATGTCAGCAGATGTAAAACGATAATGGTAAATTGGATCATTTTTGGCAGCCTTAAGAAACAGGATGTAAGCAGAAGGAAAAAACTATTTATTCTGTGTTTTGTTTCGCTTATTGTCGCCGATAATATAACTGAAACAAATGCACTGGATTCTGACCGTCCTGAGTCACTTCAATACTGTCTAAAAAAATAGTGGCTTTTGAATTAAATAACTATCATCCCTGTGAGAAGGAAATCTTTGTTTTAATTATAATTTCTACGTAAAACAATACCTTGAGGTATTGCAACTCCGGGAAAATATAAGAAACGCAATGCACGCCTTGGAACCTCTTTATAATATTTTACAGAGACCCAGTGTAACGAAACTGAGGGTCCCTGCAATAGAAAGTCCGCCCTCAATTTAGTTAAAATGGATAATAACTCTTCGTCTGAGATCTATATTTCACAATATAGCCTAAACATTGTGAATAACTCATAGAAATATAATATATTCTGTTTTACCACAAAAACAGCAGTGATAGCTATTATTCTGATATCTGAGCTTGTCTTTAGACCACGTGACCTCCATTGATGGCTATACTCTGTTAAGAGATTTTTAGAGATTTAAACAAAAAACCAAACTTTTTAGAAAAAAACAAGGGACTAACTTTGAATGTTAAAATGGATTCATTAACCATTGGTAAAATTGTTGTTTACTCCAGGAAAATTCATTTTTTGGTCGAAACAAAGAGTTATTATCCCTTTAGAGTAAGACTGACCTAAGTGGGTAAAAATCTAGGGCGAGGCATACCCGTACAAATGAATGGGAAGGAGACTCATCATGGGTGACTCTCTGTCACTTTACACCGGAACTAGTTTAGGCTAGTACTTCACTTTACCCAAACGACATGTAAAGAGACAGGCATTCAAATGCCCTTGATCAAATAAAAAGTTATTTGTTTAAGCTCTGCCCCAGTATCGTCACCTAAAGAGGTCATGGTTCAGAAGTGAACCCTTTGTTTTCTTCACACAAAAAGAATCAAAACTTGGTCTAGGCTCTATGTCATGTATCAATTTTAATCAATTCATAGGGCAATTAAAAGGTCCTTTTTCAGACCCCCCCTCCCTTTTCAACTGCAGGCTTCTTACTTGGTGAGAAAAAATTTTCACCGATTTTGTAAAATGACGACGATTCGGGGAAGCAGAAAAGCTTTGTAAGAGGAGCTACCATGTGCACGTGTGCCCTTTCATTCAAACATCAAAAATCTTTATTCAAACAATAAAAAATATCATTCTGATGCCTATTTCAATAGACTGTCATACGCACATTTAGCCCTGGAAAAATAGATATTTCTTATCACGTTGAGATTAAAACAAATACTGTAATGATAAGTCTATAGAAACTTGTAGATCAAAGTTCAAATCATTAAAATGTTAATGATGTTATCTGAGGCCAGCAACAACCGCCTCTTCTCTATTAATGTTTTTCAAAACATATACAAAGCATAACACTACAGACAATTAAGAGCTAAACTGATCTGTCCCATCAATTAAAAAAATCACTTATCACAATTTTAAGTTGCATATAAAAGCAAACCAACATATTATGACTGCTTCAACAAAGAGAGCAAAATAAAACTGAAACAGTTACAGTGAGGCACGAAGTGATACTCCAATTCCAATTCAAGTGGGTGGTGGGATGGAAGCAGGTGGTGGGAAAATGGTGAAATACAGGTGGGTGGTGGGATAGTGATGAAATACAGGTGGGTGGTGGGATAGTGATGAAATACAAGTGGGTGGTGGGATAGAAGTGGGTGGTGGGAAAAGGTGGAATAACGGTGGGTGGTGGGATAGAAGTGGGTGGTGGGA